TCCGAGCAATCGTCAGTATTGGTAATTCACATTATCATAATTATATTTATATAGATTTGTGTCAGTTATAATAGGGTAATGTATGTTGTTATCTAGTTTTTGATGGGAAATAAATGAACCAGTGTTGGAATATACTGTGTTATGATCCCTTATGTATCCACAGTATTCCCTGAACCCCTGAAGAAGCCAATTCGGCAAAACGCGTTGGAAATTACCATCACCATCCCTGATTTATGCTTGTTATATTGGTGACATTTAGACCATGGTCTGGTACTCTTAACATAGGGATAGTGTGATATGGGATTCATTATACTGAAGGACTCATTCTCTTACCTGATTTTATGGGACGGTGTGTATGTTCCAGTTTATTATGTGTAATAAAAACGTATATTTTTATATATATATAGTGTGTCAAAGTTGTTTTCATGCTGAGGGTATTTATGCACCTTTAAAGTCCTTCATGCTTATGTTTCTATTTGCGCATGTTAGAAAATGTGTTTTTTGTAGCGTGTCATCATCGTATTTGTTGTACGATCTGTCAGTGAGCATCTTACCTATACCCGATAGGAAGAAGTGACCTGTTTAGCTATGTTTGTGCTCGTATCTTATTACTAACTGAGGTATGGTTTTTGTCACCTTAGGAGTCCAGACTTCTGCCCCCCGTCTTCTGATATGTATGTTGTGAAGACGTGTGACTACTGACATACATCATGGCTTCAATGAGTGACGATGATGAGGGTTCGCCGCTACTGCAGTCATCAGCATCAGACCCAGGGTAATGCAGCAAATGTTCATCAAAAGGAATTGACCACCATAAATAGTAACACCTGACATCTTGCAGATAGGGTGTAAAGTATATCTAAAGCCCAAACTTTTTATTTTTCATTTAATGAATATGGGGGAAAGTTAAAAGCACTCTGTTTTGTTTTGTGTTTTTTAGCTATCTGTGCCTTATTATCGAGACCTCCCTTTACTTCCTGTTCTATAGATTCTGCAGGAAGTAAGCCTCCATTCACACTTGAGCATTTTTCAGCTTGTTTCCCTATGCCTGACTAAGCACAGCATACAGAACCCCATTCTTTCTGATTGTCCCTTTTCACCCTACACTTAAAAAAAGTCCATGGGCTTTATTTTGAGCATATTCAGATGTTTTTTGACCCCACAGCCTTCAATTAGTATACCTGTAAACATGGGATACATCTGTTTTGCACCTGAAAAACTCCTCTCCCCCTCTAGATAGAACTGTTCTCCTCCCCTTGTCCAACCCAAGAAACAAAGATCTTAAATTTGATATATGTGTAAAAACACTTAGAGAAAGCCTGTAAAATGCCTGAAATCTTATAAAACTCCAGGAAAAAATGCTTAGGAATGCACTTTGCTCAGGTGCGAGTGCAGCGTCAGGTGATATTTTTCCGCCTACAGTTGTTGTGGGAAGAAGTGTCCTCATTTCCTTCTCTGATGGCATTGGGGTTCAGAACAATAAAAATGGTTAGCACTTTTGCCTGGCAGTACTAGGGTCGTTGGTTTGAATCCCAGCCACGGCACTACCTGCCTGGAGTTTGCTTGTTCTCCCTGTGCCTGCGTGGGTTTCCTCTGGGTACTCCGGTTTCCTCCTACACTCCAAAGACATGCTGGTAGGTTAATTGGATCCTGTCTAAATTGGCCCTAACATGTGTATGTATGAATGTGAGTTAGGGACCTTAGATTGTACACCCCTTTAGGGTTAGGGACTGATGTCAATGTACAATATATATGTGTAAAGCGCTTTGTAAATTGACGGTGCTATATAAGTACGTGAATAAATAAATAAACAGTGCATCCAGAAAGTATTCACAGCGCTTAACTTTTGCCACATTTTGTTATGTTACAGCCTTATTCCAAATTGGACTAAATTATTTTTTCCTCAACATTCTACAAACAATACCACATAATGACAACGTGAAAGAAGTTAGTTTTGAAATCTTTGCAATTTATTCAAAATAAAAAACGAAAAAAAAAAAAAAAAACACATGTACATAAGTATTCACAGCCTTTGCTCAATACTTTGTTGAAGCACCTTTAGCACCAATTACAGCCTCAAGTTGCTTTGAGTACGATGCTACAAGCTTGGCACACACCTATTTTTGGGCAATTTCTCCCATTCTTCTTTGCAGTACCTCTCAAGCTCAGGTTGGATGGGGAGCGTCGATGCACAGCCATTTTCTGATCTCTCCAGAGATGTTCAATTGGGTTCAAGTCTGGGCTCTGGATGGGCCACTCCAGGATATTCACAGAGTTGGCCCGTAGCCACTCCATTTTTATGTGGGCTGCATGCTTAGGGTTGTTGTCCTGTTGAAAGATGAACCGTTGCCCTAGTCTAAGGTCCAGATCGCTCTGGAACAGGTTTTCATGAAGGATGTGTCTGTACATTGCTGCATTCATCTTTCATTCGATCCGGACTAGTCTCCCAGTTCCTGCCACTGAAAAACATCCCCACAGCATGATGCTTTCACCACCATGCTTCACTGTAGGGATGGTATTGGCCAGGTGGTGAGCGGTGCCTGGTTTCCTCCAGACATGACGCTTGGCATTCGGGCCAAAGAGTTCAATCTTTGTTTCATCAGACCAGAGAATTTTGTTTCTCATGGTCTGAGAGTTCCTTGGGTGCTTTTTGGCAAACTCCAGACAGGCAGCCGTTTGCCTTTTACTTAGCAGTGGCTTCCATCTGGCCACCCTACCATACAGGCCTGGTTGATGGAGTGCTGCAGAGATGGTTGTTCTTCTGGAAGGTTCTCCCTCCACAGAGAAACACTGGAGCTCTTTCAGAGTGACCATCGGGGGCTTGATTACCTCCCTGGCTAAGGCCCTTCTCCCTCAGTCACTCATTTTGGCTGGGCGGCCCACTCTAGGAAGATTCCTGTTGGTTCAAAACGTCTTCCATTTACGAATGATGGATGCCACTATACTCATTGGGACCTTCAATGCTGCAGAAAATTTTCTGTACCCTTCCCCAGATCTGTGTCTTGATACCATCCTGTCTCGGAGGTCTATGGACAATTCCTTGGACTTCATGGCTTGGTTTGTGCTCTGACATGCACGGTTAACTGTGGGACCTTTATATAGACAGGTTTATGCCTTTCCTAATCATGTCCAATCAACTGAATTCCCCACAGGTAGACTCCAATCAAGTTGTAGAATCATCTCAAGGATGATCAGTGGGAACAGGATGCACCAGAGCTCAATTTTGAGCGTCATGGCAAAGGCTGTGGATATTTATGTACATGTGGGGTTTTTTTTGTTTTTTTTTAAATAATTTTTAATAAATTGCAAAGATTTAAAAACAAACTTCTTTCATGTTGTCATTATGGGTTATTGTTTGTAGAATGTTGAGGAAAAAATGAATTTAATCCATTTTGGAATAAGGCTGTAACATAACAAAATGTGGCAAAAGTTAAGCGCTGTGAATACTTTCTGAATGCACTGGATTCCTCCATGGCCAAAAAATAGGTGTAAATGCTCATTGTATGCACCAAATGACTTTTAAAACCCAGATATTACTTTGTAAAAGTAACAGTGATATCATCACTGTTCTGAGAGCAAAGCTGTGGGAGGGGCCCAGAAGTTCCATCCACTACAGAAGGAGGTGGACAAAAGACCAGCCACCCTGCATTGAGAGAGAGAGCAGCTGTGGTTGGTCTTTATTACAGGAATCTCCTGCACAACGGGAATATTTCACAGTGGATTACTGCACAAATTTGGAAGGAATACACAAAGCACACCAAGATTCAAGTATGAATGCATATGCTTTTTGTATTTATGAAAATATGTGCTAATCCCGGAGTTCAGCTTTAACTATTTCCAGACTGGCTAACGTACATGTACTAAAGATGCAATACTCACGCACTGACTCAAATAAATGATGAGCTGCTGAAAACGGCTAAATGTGTTCCCACAACAATAAACCAAAGAAAAGAAAATAGTGCTGCGCTACCCCCTTTTAGACCTAAATACAACTCGGCTATTGCATATAATCAAGTATAAAAGTAAACGCCCTCCTGAGCCTCCAGCCCATGAAGTGATATCAATAAATAAAACTGAAAAATAAACTTGAACAATTCCCAGAAAAAACGAAGGTTGAAAGTCCAGTGCAATAAACATCTGGCTTAGCCACAAACATTTTTGAACTTTATTTTAAAAATCCATAGTTTGCTGGTGATATATGTTTGTATTCATGTTGACACTGGTATCCAGCTGGTAATCACTGCAGCACCCATTTACTCCAGAACATTTTAGGAACATATGAGGACTGGGAGTGGAACCTGCAGCCTTTGCTGCATCTGGCAGTAGCTCTTCTTTCTGAGCCACCTGTGATGCTGATTTGTTTACTTTATTGCACTGGTCTTTCAGCCTTTGTTTTTTGTGGGAATTGTTCAAGTTTATTTTTCTGTTTTATTTATATCACTCCCTCCGTGGGTTAGAAGCTCAGGAGGGCATTCATTTATTTTTATACTTGATTACATGCAACAGCTGAGTTGTTTTTTGGTTTACTAAGGGGCAACGCAGCACTGTTTAAGTTTCTAACGGACACGTAAGTTGCCAATTTGGAATCATATACCGGGGTTGATGCTTGCAGTTGCAAGCATCAACCTGGTGGAGCAGTTTTGTGCCTTGTTGTCTTCTATGGGCCCCCCAACTCAATAAAATGCCGAAACAAACTAAAATGTTTTATTTTTCCAAATGCACTGCAGCACTAAGATGGGAACAGACACTTTCTTTATTATGGGAAACTATGACACGTGTTTTAGTCAGTTGGGACATGTTCATTAAAGCTTAGCAGTGTAAATTGGCCATTAATCTGAACGTTACAACTGTTGCAGTTCAACTCTTGACATACTTTGATTTTCCAGCTTATTTGCTAGTCTAAAAGATCATCTGTTTTATTAAAATTGTTTTGTGTTGTTTTTAGCATTGTCATTGAAACTCAAGATCAGCACAAAAGCAGATGGTGGTCCATCAGGATTATGTACCTTACCATGTTTCTCAGCAGTGTAGGTGAGTATTTATTAGCCCAGTAAGACTCGTTGAACCTTGGATTGTAACTGTCACATAATGTCATGCTGCATTTTGAGTGGCTGTGTTTAAAGTGGAACTAAATGTTAAAACTAAAAAATGATGAACAGGCAAGCTTTTTATTGTGGAAGAAACATGCAATGTCTTTTCTGCAATAAAGAACACTTACCTGCCTATTTGCAATCCCCTGCGGAATGTTCATCGAGCTGCGCATGTGCAGCTCATTTTGCATCAGGATGACTGCACTATTGCATTGGGCAATCAAAACATCTGAAGACTGGCACCCAGAAGAACCTGGGGAGAAGATGCTAGTGCTGGCGAGGTACCTTGCTAGCGTTGAACAATTGATGCTAAGGTAAGTATGTTTGCCTTTAGTTCTGCTTTAATAGACATATGATGCTGAACATTATTTCAGAGTGTTTTAGGGATTTGATATGTCTTGTTGAATAAGTATGTTTTGCCATGTGGCCTTGTTTGTACACTGAGCAAAAATAACCAAGATATGAGTCTGCAAAGTTATAAGGTATTTGTGGCCAAGCTATTTTTTTATTTTCTGACCAACACAGGTTTAGATACAGCTGGCAAAATGTATTTTTAAATCCTTTTATATCCAAATTATTCAAGTGAAATGTCAGACAGATATGGTATATACATAGTTACATTGGTCCAAGCTGGGTGAATCTATGGAAAAAATATATACAGCGAGGAACAGAAGTATTTGAACACCCTGCGATTTTGCAAGTTCTCCCACTTAGAAATCATGGAGGGGTCTGAAATTCACATTGTAGGTGCATTCCCACTCTGAGAGACAGAATTAAAAAAAAAATCCAGGAAATCACATTGTATGATTTTTAAAGAATTTATTTGTCTTGCACTGCTGAACATAAGTATTTGAACACCTGAGAAAATCAGTGTTAATATTTGGTACAGAAACCTTTGTTTGCAATTACAGAGGTCAAACGTTTCCTGTAGTTCTTGACCAGGTTTGCACACACTGCAACAGGGATTTTGGCCCACTCCTCCATACAGATCTCCTCTAGATCTGTCAGGTTTCAGGGCTCTTGCTGAGCAACACAGAGTTTCAGCTCCCTCCAAAGATGTTCTATTGGATTTAGGTCTGGAGACTGGCTAGGCCACTCCAGAACCTTGATATGCTTCTTACGGAGCCACTCCTTGGTTATCCTGGCTGTGTGCTTCGGGTTGTTGTCATGTTGGAAGACCCAGCCACGACCCATCTTCAATGCTATGACTGAGGGAAGGAGGTTGTTGCTCAAAATTTCAGACCCCGCCATGATTTCTAAGTGGGAGAACTTGAAAAATCGCAGGGTGTTCAAATACTTCTGTTCCTCACTGTAATGCCTGGAATTCAGAATTAATGTATAGCTCTGTCTTCAGGGATCCACCTAGTATTTATGCTACTACTTATACATCTTGAGACACCATTAACAAAAATATTCCTTTTATACTATGGATATAAACTCATATGTGACTGTAGACATAGTGTACCTTTAAATTGGTTTTACTTAAGTCATGATATGTGTGTGTTTTGTTTTTTTAAGGATTTTCTATTGTGATGACCTCAGTTTGGCCATATCTGCAAAAGGTTAGCTATTTCTTTGTCACTTGCCCAATGGTCTATTTGCTATTATCTTTGGGGGTGATTAGTAAGTTATGCCTTGTCTGACCATGCACATAACCACACACAACAGATTGGTTGTTTCAAATGATCTTTGGTTTGAAAATATTTTATTGGACAAAATATTGGGAAACATTTAATTGGCTGAATTGAAAAAAATTCTGCCTGGACAGATCACTTCTATTTGATAAAACAGATTGCTTATAGACTTAGTGCTGTCTATTTCTAAAAAAATATAATGTTTTACCTAAGACCAGCCGAAAATGATATTGTAATAATGGTATTGTGACTACTACTAGTGTGGTAGTTTCTATGTTTCCTATTGAGTGGTGTGCAGTTTAGTGAGGTTATATACATTGGGAGGAGGAATATTCTTGCTGAATATAAAGCTCAGTATAAAGTGTTTAATCCATCTTCACTGTTGTTAATTTTTTTCAGATTGACTCAAGTGCTGATGGAAGTTTCCTCGGCTGGGTGATAGCGTCCTACAGTTTGGGTCAGATGATTGCCTCACCCTTGTTTGGTGTATGGTCTAATCATAGGCCAAGAAGAGAACCTCTAGTTGTCTCCATCTCCATACTGGTGGCAGCCAGCTGTCTTTATGCTTATGTACATGTTCCTTCCAGTCACAACAAGTATTACATGCTTGCCGCACGTGCCCTGGTTGGCTTTGGATCAGGTGTGTTGCTAAGCAAATAGGTAAAACCTTGTGATATAGAGGCTTGATCTGTTGAATACACTAAGGGAACAGAACTAGGCTCTTAAAGTGGTTGTAATGCCTGAAGATTTTTTTTACCATCATGAATTATATATATTACTGGAGCCCGATCTCAATTCAGCGATGTTCACGAGAGCGGCTGCTGTCCCAGCTCTCTGCCTCCTCATTGGTTCAGAGACAGCAGCAGTGATCGAGAGCAAGCATGCACAAGGAGCCCAGAGCTCTGGTGGGGGACCCTAGAAGAGGAGGATCGGGGCTGCTCAGTGCTAAACCCTTGCACAGAGCAGGTAAGTATGACATGCCTGTTATTTATTTAAAAGAAAAAAAAATAAACATTTAGTATCACTTTAACTCCATCTATCATTATTTCCTTTTTTAAAGCCATCAGAATTATTATCATCTTACATTTTGTTTAAATCCTAGGAAATGTTGCTGTTGTTAGATCGTATGTTGCTGGTGCAACTTCCATTTCAGAAAGGACCGGTGCAATGGCAAACATAAGTGCTTTCCAAGCTCTAGGATTTATCTTGGGCCCTGGTAGGTAGGTTATTTGGAGGTGACATGGGATTGTGGACAGTCCTTTTATTGTGGGATAAATAAACTTAGTAGACATTCTCTCTGCTAGCATTCCAGGCTGCCTTTACTCTGATTGGAGAACAGGGTGTAACCTTCGCTGCTATTGATCTCCAGCTGAACATGTATACCACCCCATCACTCATGGGTGCAATCCTTGGCATTGTGAACATCATTCTAATCTTTATTATATTCAGGTATTAACTTTGTTTTCCTAAACCTGTTTCAAGTTTTGTTTGTTTTTTTTTTAATACTATCTATTTTAGTAGGGAAATGTAAATAATCCTATGGTGAGGGGTTAGAACCACTATCATGTTTTTTTTATTGCTGGGTTTCCTTGTTAGGAAAATTCACTTTCTCTAATTATCCTGACCACCAATGTTACTGCAAATGAAAGTGAGGGTAAATCCAAAAGTTTGAGTTGCTACCAGAACAGAAATAGAAGAGAAAGGTTTTAATGGGTACACACATGTTCCCCTGGTAGCTGTCTATGATATCCCTCACTTTGGAAAAATATCCTCTCATTTCCTGTTGAATCTTTAGGACAGGAAGTGAAGGGAAATATTAATGAGACAAAGATTGCAAAAAGGTGGCTTTAACCCTCCCCTACTCTATCCAAAATTAAGAAAAAAATGTGCCTTTTCGTTATACTTTAATTATTTAACATGTAAACAGGCACCATGCAAAGAAGAGTTGAATTGAGGCTCATCCATGTTTTATCAGCATGGCTGAAAAACTGTAAAAGCAGATGCAAGTGTCCAGTGTGCAGAATGATTCCCAGAGACAGCAGCACAAAGAACAATGAATAATGCCATGAATGACACTTTCTCTGTGTACTGTGTACTGCTTTCATGTGATTCTGCCTTGTTTACATTTAAAGTGTTACTAAACTCAGGACCCTGCATTCACTCTGGTCTGCCACAGTACACAGAACATGGAAGTGCAATTATTTTAGTAAATATAAATTGCTAAATACCTTTTTCACCAGCAGTTAGAGCAGTCTTGTGACATCTATCAGTGTTCATCTGAGCACTGCTTAAATCTTGTAGGAGGAGTTTTTTTTCTGCTCTTGGCGGATGCACAACCCCTGACCTCTGTCTGGACATTGCTGATTGGCCCTGTGCTGATCACATGCACTCCCCAAAAAAAACAAAAACCCCTTCAGCAATACACACCAAACTGAGCATGCGCAGTGTCTCCACACAATATATCTTATCGGGTGATATGAGGGAGACACTAGAAGAAGGGGAGGATCAGAGAAGTCAGTATCAAACATTGTTTTTACACAATGCAGATATTTAACCCCTTAGGTTCCACAGTGAGTATAGCAAGCATGCTTTACTGCATATACAGACTGATTTTACTGTTGTGGGTTTAGTAACATTTTAATGTTAGTTAAGGCTTCTATGACTACACTCCTGGAAGCCCTTGTTTACTACTTTCACACAGGCAATAAGCAGTCCTTACCACCTCTACAAATGTACAGTAATTATTGAATGTTGAGCTGATAAATAGGCAGTTAATAGTTAATCTTCAAATCTTCTGGCTTGATAAATAACAGGCACTATGCTATTTTGCAGTTTTTCAAAGAAAGGGCATCAGCTAAAATTTGCTTGCGATCTACTGAGGACTTAAAGGGAAGATTTCATCTCCGTACTTAGTTTCAAGCTCTTCTCATTTGTCTCTGCCTAATAAGGAGCATGCAGCCCTCGTTGATTAATGGAATTGTTTAGGAAAATTGGCATGTAACGTTATTTTGCTTTGTTGTCTTTTGTTTTACTTGGCACATATTGTATGATTTGTTATTAGTTGCCTGGTTATTATCTATTTTTATATAATATATTTTTGCAATGGCTCTGTGGTTTATCAATATTGGAGTAAATCAGTATCTTCTTCCTGCAGAGAACACAGAGTGGATGACCTGGGAAGGCACATAGGAAATATAAACTATGAGCCTGAAGGTAATGTACTTTTAAGATTTCACACATACTTACTGTATATTGACCATCTACTAATTCTGCATCTGCCCATCACAAATGTTTCTGTTGCTTTAATTTTTGTGGATAATATCCACATACATTGACATTCACTGAAGAGAAGAGTGCATGGATAATTTGCAGAGGCCACCCTTCAGACTGGGGCTGTATATACAAGTCTCACTTAAGAAATTTGATTTATTTCTAGGCGACCAATCTGCAGATTGGCATTTTTTTTAATCTATTAAGGTGACCCACTTAAATGAATGGTAAAATCATGAAGTGCCTGTGTTATTAGGCATTGGGTTTCTGAGATAATTCAGGATTTAGAGACAGATCCATTTGACCTGCAGTCAACCACTTTCTGACATGCATCAATCTGCTTTTGTTTTCCTGTTGACCTGTATGGGGAGAGAGGCAGTTCTGATGCAAATGAAAGCCCATCAACATAGACCCTGAAATAAGTATAATTGTACTTTTTTTGTTTAGTTTCTCTGCACTGAGGAAATTTTGAGTTCTTGAATGTTCTTCATTCTTTATTATACAATAATTATTTTATTTATTTATTATATATTCCTAGATTGTAAGCTCCAAGGAGCAGGGCCCTTGAACCCCTCGTGTATCGCACTGTATTGTTATTGTACTGTCTCATGTATTGTCCCCCATTGTAATGTACAGCGCTGAGCGAACTGTTGGCGCAATATAAATACTGTATAATAATAATACAAAAACATGACATAAGCATTTGAAGACCCTAGTAAACGTGCAAAAAAAGGCATACAGGAATGTCCTAAATGTGCATGTTACTGTCTGCCCCTAGGCTTACAAGTGTTCTTGTAGTCAAAACTCCGTAGTTCATTTTATACAGAAGTTGTGCATCCTGTATATGAGGGCTGACTATAGTGAAGTGGTTTAGGTTTACTGAACATCTTCACGGAATAATCAACTAGGGCAGGGCTTTATTAGGGAAATCTTTCTAAAAGTTACAGTATCACACCAGATCGATTTAAAAAAAATTTAAAAGTAAAGTTTGTTATTGATGCATTACTTTCCACAAGTACTATAAATTTTAATTGTGTAAGTGTGGCCTCTTACTGGGTTGCCTTGTGCTGTTCAACCCTTTTCTTCATTTGAGTTTGTATGAGTAAAAGTTTCAGAATGTAAAAAAAGGATGTCCATCATCATCCTCCCCAGCCTGACTGTCCCTGACTGGTCCATTTCATTAATTGGATTTTAGTTTTTAGCCATGGAGGTTCAGTATAACATATGGGCATTACCTATGGTAGTCTACAAGTAAATTCAGCCTGCCTATGACTGCCTATTCCTCCAGGCTGTCATTCACACATTAAGCACTTTAATATTCTAATATCTCCTCCTAAGAACCAACCAGCTGCATGCATTAGGGCTGAAGGCTCTTGATAGGTGTTCTAAGACAGAGTGCTATAAATATTTTCAGGAAGCTTTTCTGACCCCTCCTACTAACCATGATTTGGTCACATTACATTAGTACATTTACTCCTGGGGTGCGGCATCCACAGGCACTACAACATACCCATACAAGGGCACTGGTGTGTCCCCTGGGGAATGCAGCAGTGTGATCCTGTGACCCAAGTGCTCGGTACTTGGCCTCTCACAGCGGTATCATGTGATCACTATGAAAAGTCATAGTGATTACATGATAACATGTAAGCAAAACTGTAATGAGTGGTTTTCATTCATGACTGAATGCTTACTATTGTGGCATTCCTTGTCTCATTTTTTTACATCACAGAAACCTGACACTTTAACTTTTAGAGGGGTGTGTAGACTTTTTATATCTCTCTCGCTCTCTCTTCCCCCCTCACTCGCTCTCTTTACCGCCTCTCTCTCTCTCTCGCTCTCTCGCTCTCTCCCCCCTCTCTTGCTCTCTCCCTCTCTCACTCTCTCCCCCTCTCTCACTCTCCCCCCCCCATCTCTCCCTCTCTCCTTTCCCTCTCTCTCCCTCCCCTCTCTCTCCCCCTCCCCTTCTCTCTCGCTCTTCCTCTCCCCCCTCTCTCCCCCTTCCCCTCTCTCGCTCTTCCTCTCCCCTCTCTCTTGCTCTCCCCACCCCTCACTCGCACTCTCTCTCCCCTCTCTCTCCCCCCTCCCCCTCTCCCTCTTCCTCTCTCCCTCCTTCCCCCCCTCTCTCTCCCTCCTTCCCCTCTCTCTCTCTCCCTCCTCCCCCCTCTCTCTCTCTGTCTCCCCCCCTCTCTCTCTCTTCCCCTCTCTCTCCCCCCTCCCCAAAACTTAAGAAAAACGTGGTGCCTTTTTTTTTATTTTCTGTAATTTTTGTTTGTGTGTGTATATATAGCTAAAATAAACTGGTGATTAAATACCACCAAAAGAAAGCTCTATTTATATGAAAAAAGTTTTGTCAATTTAATCTGGGTAGAGTGGTGCATCACCAAGCAATTACCAGTTAAAGTAGCACAGTGCTGAATAGCAAAAAATATGCCCTGGTTATGAATGTGGTAAAACCTTCCAGAGGCCAAGTGATTAAGCCATAGAAGTATTTTCTCGGTTAATTTTTCACATATATGTTTAGTCCTTTCCACTATTAAACACGTTTCCCTCACTATGCCTTGTTCAGTTTCTTTCACTAGATTAACTAATGTCTGGAGTGAGTTTATTGTTTGTTTTTGTTTGTTTGTTTTCAGAGCTGAATTCACAGGCAGAGAGTGAAGAGGCTGTTGACCAAGTGGCAGTTGTCTCATCAAATATTTTGTTCTTTGTAATTTTGTTTGTATTTGCCATTTTTGAAACGTACGTATACCTTTTTTTATGTTATTAGCATATTTAAAAAACTAATTACTGTATATGCAAGTGTTTGTGGATGAAACATGTACATGCTGACAGCAAAAGCAAAGCTGAATTCAGCCTTCTTTCTATAGCAAGATCTGATGGATCTTTCCACTGTGAATGCTTAAACTTTGTCCTTAGTTTTTCCCCATAAAGATTTTATCGAACTGTATGTTAGTCACAAACACTGAGAGTGCGTATGGAAACACCTACACAGTAAGGGTGTTTGCTGGAATAAGATCCATGTGCACATACTGTATTAACATGTAATCAACTAAGGGAAAGGCAGGGTTCCCTGGTAAAGGTCAAGCAGTTTAATGGGTGAGCGAATCCCTTACAGCAGGTGTTTGGGTTGTTGCTACCATTGTTTGTGGGTTCAGCAACTGATAGGCAGATAGCTGGTTCTATTTAACCCCTGGTTCACATATGCATGGATTTGCGGGCCGCGTTTTGCGCGGGCACGAGAGCCCATTCATTTGAATGGACTCCTGTGCCCCTTGACACGCAGGGAAGAAGTCCCTGCACTTCTTCTGAAAACGCAGTCAGCACAGAAACCTTCGTTCCCAGCCACTACGGCTGCGTTTTCCAATGTGGGCGGCGTGCCTTTAGAAGTAATGGTACCTGCCCGCAGGTCCGTATTCCTCTGTGCGGGTGGATTTTCATGCGGATCTGCAGCAGCACCACCCGCACATATGTGAACCAAGCCTTAGGCTTGTCTGGGCAAGTTATACAGGTTAGCCAAGGAAAAGGTGTAATAGCAAAGCCAAAAACTCACTGGTTAGATGTCTGTTTATATTTGCTGGATACAAGACTTCAGGTTTTTGGCAGCCTGGCCTGTAGCTCACATGGTGTCCTAGGGATCCATAAGTGTAGCAGGAAAGTCTCCTACCTCCCTATACTAATGATGTAACTGGAGAATAAACAAGAGCAAATAAAGAAAATAGGTGGGCAGAAAGTGTGCTTGGGGAAAGGTGGCTGTGAAGGAAGGAGGAACAGAGATATAGAGGCAATAGGTGAAGGGCTGGGATCTGTTGGGTATAAGAAGGGAGCAGTACAAGGGGCGGGAAGAAGGGTGTCCCACAGAGGTCTCCCTCTGCAGCTAGCATGATAGTTTTCAGATTTACCTCTGGTGTGGTGATACATTTATTAAAATGCACATTTTCAGAGAATTTGCTTTTCTTACTTAAAGTTAACCTATTAGCCATTTTTAGTAACAGTTTTGTCTAAGATCAGACAGGCAAGCTGCCTTCTATTATCCTGATTACAGAGGGATACCTTGTTTTTTTGTGTCTCTCTGATTCCGTTTCACCTTGTTAAAAGGGCCTTACATCTGGCCTAAGCCCTATTTTGTTGTATTGTTTATTGGGACCACATCAGTGGCTATTAAGCATGCTCTTCTTGCATAAGGGGCAGGTAGGTAGGTGAGCTGTAGCTCAGAAGTCTGAAATGGGTAGTCCTTAGTAACAGTGAAATTAAATCTTAGAGAAAAGGGTTTTCTGGCTAATAACAAGTAGTAATACACTATGTTTCCAGTGTGGCCAGGCACTTGGAGTAGGCATAATGCAGCAATACAAATTACTGCAGCACTGTGAAAAAGTACAATTTTCATAATGCTATGGGAATTGTAGTGAATGGCCATTTTTAGGTGGGCAGGATTGTGGGCTGGTACAGGGCACATATAAACATAGCCAGTGAACGGGATTGTGTGCTTGCCCACATCATTTTCATTGCTTTCCCACATTGTCTTCATTACATGTAGGCCTGTCAGTTACAGTGTGAGATTATTGGAGGTAGGGCAGATCAGGAGTCTCTTGGCCTAACAACCAAAATCGGGCTGTTACAGTGGGTGGTTCAGACCAGGAGTCTGAGACTTCCAAGTTCACTCTTTACAGTGAGAGGGAGCATAATGTCATCACTGCTTACTGACTACTACATTGGGAAAGTGACGTGACTGGAGGGATAGAGGGCCACTATGGCCACTGGTCTTATAAAATAGATGTGAAGAGGCTGAGGCATGTCGCTGCAAAAAAGAGTTTTGTTGCCACTATTCCTTTGTTTGGACAGAGGAGCATATTCTTTAAAGGTAGGAAAACATCAAAATATACATGAGGGTTTAACTTTAAGAACAAGAAGAAAAATGGAGAATATGTCTAATTGTTGCTTAAAGCTGCCAGCTAGTACCTTACCATTAGCAATAACCCCTTTTAGTAGCCTTCAGCCAGCTAAAGTGTCTGAAGCTAAAAGCAATTTTCTTAAAGTTGCTCTTTACACATATTTCAGGCCCTGGCTTACTGATTGTTTGCCTAGGCCTGGCCAATACTTTATAGGAGGGGGCAAGCATTTAATACCAATAAGGGGGAAATCTGAGAGGGTGCTCTGAAAGGACGTATCTCTATGAAGAAAGAATGCACTGACTTCTTGCAGATCTATTTATAATGTAAGTGGTATAACCTTACCATGGCAATACAAGTGCTTTGAAATAAACAGCAGTGTCTGTACAAATGTGCATTGCTCTCACCTGGCTTTGGGACTCTGAAGCTAGTGGAGGGCAATAAAAATTAGAGGAAAAAAAACAGGGAAAGTCTGGGTCATGTGATTTGTGCTAAGCAGCAAGAACTTCATGGGACACCACAGGCTCCATACCCCATACTGCATTTTATGAATGGGCTGCAAAATGCAGCCACAGTATAGTGCAACCCTGAGGGGTATGAAAGAGTTTAGATAGTAATATCTGTTCCCCAATATAAATTACCCCTTTAGTTTTCATCCTGTGAGATTCACAGGATTTCTCTAAACTTACAAACTTGGAAAATTGACACTGGGGACAATGTTCGAATTGGGGAACTGGGGAGAGCATCCTATCCATGTCATTCCAGTACCCTGACTATAAAATATAGATAGAGTACTTTTGTGTGTTTCATGTAATATACCTGTATGTATATTATTTGTTTTAAATGTAAGACTTTCTTGCCACTTCTGTTTCTCCAGAATTGCAACTCCACTAACAATGGACATGTATGCATGGAGAAGAACACAGGCAGTGTTTTATAATGGAATTATCTTGGCTGCTATTGGTGTGGAATCAGTGTTTGTATTCATTACAGTTAAATTGCTTTCTAAAAAAGTAAGTTTCTTAAATAATACAATCATTTAAATAATTACTCTTCTTAAAATGTATGTTAATATCATGATTTACAGTTGTTTCTTCAGGCTATAGACTGTTTTATCATTTCAGATGACTGTTGTTTATAAAATAATGTCAGTAAATTCAAGTATTTAATTTTCAGCATACTGGATGCCATTGTTGAAAAGGGATACAGGTTTTCGAACAAATGCTAGTTGTTTCATACTCATAGTTAACCACTTGCCCTCCTGAGGATTTACCCCCCTTCCTGACCAGGCCTCTTTTTGCTACTCGGCGCTGCACTAATTTAACTGATAATTGTGCGGTCATGCAATCCTGCACCCAAACGAACTTTAAGTCCTTTTTTACACACAAATAGAGCTTTCTTTCGGTGGTATTTGATCACCTGTGCGCTTTTTATTTTTCACGCTATAAACAAAAAAAGACCAAAAATTTTCTTGTTCAAA